ATGTCTTAGAGAACAAGATTGATGTCTTAGAGAACAACTTGGATGAACGAAGATGTCTTAGAAAGCTTCTCTGATGAACGAAAAGATACTTAGAGAATAACTTTGACGACTTTGAAACAACTTTGATGTACGAAAGTGAGTTAGAGATTACCTTTGTTAACTCTGAGATCAACTTTGATGAACAAAAGTGAGTTAGAGATTACCTTTGATAACTCTAAGATTAACTTTGATGACTTTGAGAACAAGTTTGATGATTGAGATTAATTTTTAACGTCTTTTTGGAACAACTTTGTTAACTCTGAGAATAGCTTTGATGCCTCTGAGAATGGCTTTGGGTAGCTCTGAGAATAACTTTTGTTGTCTTGGAATAACTTTGATTGTTCTGAGAATAACTTTAGATATCTCTGAGAATAAGTTTGATGAACGAAGAGTGTCTTTTGGTGTGTTTGAGTGTGTCTTTGATGCCTCGAGAGGTGTCTTTGATGTCTTAAAGGATGTCTTTGATGTCTCAAAGGATGTCTTAGAGTGTAACTTTGGTGTAATGGAGAGAACCTTTGACTATTTTTCTTACTTAGCGACATATAATTTTAGTTACGAAAGTGTTGAAAAAGTTACATTTGACTATTTTAGTGCTCCACAAAGTATAAATGTCAGTTAAGAACGACGATGATAGATATCTTTGACTATATTTTCTGACTTGACGATGGATAAAGTTAGTTATGAACAGTGCTGAAAAGAATCCTTTGACAATTTTTAGCTAAGCGAAAGGCTGTTTTAGTTAAGAACAGTGTTGGAAAGAGACTACACATGACTATTTTCAGATGAGAGAAGTGATATTTTAGTTAAGAAATGACAAGGAAACATGATGAAGTAACTATTTTTAGTTGACCGATGAATACTTTTAGTTGAGCAAAAGACAAAACATGATGAACATGACTTTTTCTGATGATTGGCGGGTAATTTTAGTTATGAAATGACAATGAAACATGATGAACACGGTTATTTTCTGATGAATGGGGAATATGTTTAGTTAAGAAATGATGAAAGTTATTATTTTTAGTTGATTGACGATGGATAAAAGCTAGTTATGAACAGTTTTGGAAAGTTTCCTTTGACAATTTTTCTTGATGAAACATAGCGCCTGTTAAGAAAGTGCTGAAAAAAGTTTCCTTTGACAATTTTTAGCTAAGAGAAAGGTTGTTTTAGTTAAGAACAGTGTTGAACGAGGCTATTTCTGACTATTTTTAGTTGACTGGATAATAAGTTTAGTTGAGAAATGACGAAAGTGACTATGTTTCAGTTGATTGGCGAAAGATTTTTAGTTAAGGAACGTTAGATAACATGTAAGGGGAAAAACCTAGAGAACATATGGGGAACATGGCAAAGAACATATGTAAGAAAAGTTGATGAATACAGTGAACATGACTTTTTCTGATGACTAGGGAATAAGTTTAGTTATGAACAGTGTTGGAAAGATTCCTTTGACAATTTTTGGTTGATTGGATAATAAGTTAGTTGAGAAATGAGGAAAGTGACTATGTTTCAGTTGATTGGCGAAAGATTTTTAGTTAAGAAGTTACGAGAAAGGTTTGTCTTTGTAAATTTGGAACTGAATAAAGTGTAGATTTGTTTAAGAACGGGGTTGGTAGAACTATTAAGTTGACAACGAGAATTACTTTGACATAGTTTTGAAAATAAAACTGGGTGACTAAAATTGTTGAGGGAACTGTATTGCTGTATAATATTTGGCAAAGAACTAGTTAGTGAATGGAAGAAAACAAATTGGTTTAAAGAAACAAAGAACATAAAAAAATTGAGGTTATGTAGGGGAATGAACACAGTGAACATACGGTGAACACAGAAAACATGTAAGAAAAAGTTGATGAATAGAGTGAACATGCAGGGAATATGAACTTATAGAGAATATGAAGACATGATAAGGAACATAGGGAATACAAAGAATGAACACTGAACATGTGAAGAACAAGCTAAGAACATTGAGAACATGAATACTGAGTATAAAAGTTATATAGAGATCATATGATGTACATGAAAACATGACAAAGAACATAGAGAACATACGGGGAAAACGGCAGAAAAAATTTGAACTGAGCATACTGTAAACATTTATAGAACATGGAATGAACACAGAAAACATGGAAAAAAATGTGAAGAACACATCTGAATATAGAGAAAATATGCAAATACAGGGGGACAAGAGCTGGAGCTCAGTAACTGACTTGATCTTATTTACTACGTCTGAAATATGACTGTTTAAAATTTCAGGGGGATTGGACTGCTAGTAGTGAAAATGTGGTCTCTGTCAAATTTGGGTCTTTAATTGGACTCTGATTAATTTCGATCATGAACTGGACTCTGATGAATTTTGCTATCAAAGTAGACTCTGGCGAATTTGAGCATAAACTGGACTCTGACGAAAATTGGGTATAAAAATGGACTCTGTCAAATTTTCACAGATTACAGGACACTGATGAAATTTGCTCTCAAAGTAGACTCTGGCGAATTTCTGTTGATAATTGGACTCTGATGAAATATGAGCTTAAAACTGTCTCTGACTAATTTTACTCACAAAGTAGACTCTGGCGAATTTCTGTTGATAATTGGACTCTGATGAAATATGAGCTTAAAACTGTCTCTGACTAATTTTGCTCTCAAAGTAGACTCTGGCGAATTTCTGTTGATAATTGGACTCTGATGAAATTTCAGCTTAAAACTGTCTCTGACTAATTTTGCTCTCAAAGTAGACTCTGGCGAATTTTCTGTTGATAATTGGACTCTGATGAAATATGAGCTAAAAACTGGGCTCTGTTCAATTTTGGTCTTTACAGGTGAAATAGCCGTAAATGGATATAAAACTAAATGTTATGGATAAGTTGTCTGTTTTCCTTAACAAAACATCTAAGACAATATTCTCTGAAAATGGTCCTTTTACAAATTCGGTCATAAACATATAAATAAACTTCTATGATTATTTGAAACTCTGAAAATAGCTGTAAGGAAATAGACTCTGAAAATAGCTGTAAGGAAATAGGAGGAGAGAGAGAGAGAGAGAGGGACGGTCCAGATATTATTATGGAGAAGATAAGATACGATTACCGAGGTGACCTGGAGGCCGTGTCTGGCTGACGTCTAAAGTAAACACAGGTGAGGCGACAGATTGCGAGGTAAGGGGGGAGGGAGGGGGGTGAGGTACAAGTGGGGGATGCAGGGTGAGGTACGAGCGGGAGATGATGGGGGACGGCTGTAAAATGATTCAGATATACTAGTTTCTAAGTAAGAATCCAACTTAAACATATACAGCCTAAATATCTGTTTTATAATGGGTAGGAACTCTGAAAAAAATTCTCCCATAAGAACTTTTTAACAAACTCGTATGACATTATTTACGTCATAAGAAACCTTAACAAACTTCTAAAATCTCAATAATTATTTTCCTCATAAGAATTCCTTAATTCCAAATCTGTGACTCCCAAAATTCGCCTGAAAACCCTAAAGCGCTACACACGATATTTCTGACCTGAAAACCCCGAAGCGCTACACACGATATTTGACCTGAAAACCCCCAAGCGCTACACACGATATTTGGTCTGAAAAAAAATATCGTCTGTGGCGCTTACACCCTACTACTGTGCTGCACGATGGGGGAGGTGCTGCACAATGGGGGGAGGTGCTGCACAATGGGGGGAGGTGCTGCAAGATGGGGGGAGGTGCTGCACAATGGGGGGAGGTGCTGCACGATGGGGGGAGGTGCTGCACAATGGGGGTAGGTGCTGCACGATGGGGGGAGGTGCTGCACAATGGGGGGAGGTGCTGCACGAAGGGGGGAGGTGCTGCAAGATGGGGGGAGGTGCTGCAAGATGGGGGAGGGGCTGCACGATGGGGGGAGGTGCTGCACGATGGGGGGAGGTGCTGCAAGATGGGGGGAGGTGCTGCACAATGGGGGAGGTGCTGCACAATGGGGGGAGGTGCTGCACGATGGGGAGAGGTGCTGCACAATGGGGGGAGGTGCTGCAAGATGGGGGGAGGTGCTGCAAGATGGGGGGAGGTGCTGCACGATGGGGGGAGGTGCTGCACAATGGGGGGAGGTGCTGCAAGATGGGGGGAGGTGCTGCACAATGGGGGGAGGTGCTGCACGAAGGGGGGAGGTGCTGCAAGATGGGGGGAGGTGCTGCAAGATGGGGGAGGGGCTGCACGATGGGGGGAGGTGCTGCACGATGGGGGGAGGTGCTGCAAGATGGGGGGAGGTGCGGCACGATGGGGGGAGGTGCTGCATGATGGGGGGAGGTGCTGCACGATGGGGGGGGTGCTGCACAATGGGGTGAGGTGCTGCAAGATGGGGGGAGGTGCTGCACAATGGGGGGAGGTGCTGCACGATGGGGGGAGGTGCTGCACGATGGAGGGAGGTGCTGCAAGATGGGGGGAGGTGCTGCAAGATGGGGGGAGGTGCTTCAAGATGGGGGTAAGGTGCGGCACGATGGGGGGAGGTGCTGCATGATGGGGGGAGGTGCTGCACGATGGGGGGGGGTGCTGCAAGATGGGGGAGGTGCTGCACGATAGGGGGAGGTGCTGCATGATGGGGGGAGGTGCTGCAAGATGGGGGGAGGTGCTGAACGATGGGTGCTGCTGCAAGATGGGGAAGGTGCTGCACAATGGGGGGAGGTGCTGCAAGATGGGGGGAGGTGCGGCACGATGGGGGAGGTGCTGCATGATGGGGGAAGGTGCTGCAAGATGGGGGGAGGTGCTGCAAGATGGGAGAGGTGCTGCACGATGGGGGGAGGTGCTGCAAGATGGGGGGAGGTGCTGCAAGATGAGGGGAGGTGCTGCACGATGGGGGGGGGATGTGACATGAAATATACAGTTTCAGAAATAAAACAAAGGTGGATAGCATTCTCGGCTTCGAGAAGATTAATGGGTAAGATACGAGAGCCCAAGAGCGTGAACGCGTTAGATCTATGGCCGCTGACAGGAAGTCTTTGCAGGGGTGAGCGACTACACGGGCGGCATCTCCGAGTCTCTGGTCGACGCCTACATCGGCGACACAGACCTGGCTGACTTCCAGGCAGCTGCTCCCGGCCTCATCGACGTGAGTTGTCATTATTATTCTTTAAACTTACCCGAAACCATCAAGTATTTCACAATTTTTATTGACTTAGAACAGAAGAGTTAGGGGGGACATGATCACCACATTCAAGATTCTCAAGGGAATTGATAGGGTAGATAAAGACAGGCTATTTAACACAAGGGGCACACGCACTAGGGGGACAGGTGGAAACTGAGTGCCCAAATGAGCCACAGAGATATTAGAAAGAATTTTTGTTTAGTGTAAGAGTAGTAAATGGAATGATGTGGTGGAGGCTGACTCCATACACAGTTTCAAGTGTAGATATGATAGAGCCCAGTAGGCTCAGGAACCTGTACACCTGTTGATTGACGGTTGAGAGGCGCGACCAAAGAGCTAGAGCTCAACCCCCGCAAGCACAATTAGGTGAGTACACACTCTCTCGCTCTCTCTCGTATGTTACCCATATATATATATATATATATATATATATATATATATATATATATATATATATATATATATATATATATATATATATATATATATATATGTGTGTGTGTGTGTATATCACGAAAATAAACACGTGATTAAGAATGCGACCAAGAATGTGATTAAGAATGTCAGACCACGGAGGAAAAATGAAACAGGAAATTTCCTTAAGTACTTTCGTATATTAAATACATCTTCAGAAGGTCATTTTACAGATCGAGTGATGGGTATAAATAGGCAGGAAGGAGTGGTGAAGTAAGGTGAGGTACAATACTTGGACAACGCAGACGGCCCATAGCAGCATTTTCCCATTTTCAGACAGCATTTGTCAGAAAAAGCTCACCAAATTGATTGGGAGAGTGCTTCTTCAATAACAAATTGTAAAAGCACCTATAACAGAAACATAATTGAATCTGCTTTGATACAGATCACCAAAGAAAGTAATTTGAATATTAGCAGTGGTCTATATAACTTAGATCCATTTCTAATAGATCAGCTAAAGGGCGATTTAAGTAGAATCATTGAAAAACATTTGTCTCACTAATTTATTGTATATATTTACTTCTTTATGTTATAATTACCTATATATTATGCTTGTATGTCTGCTGTATCAGATGGGCCATTGGGCTACATCGGATGTGCCAATTGGGTGCATCTGATGGGCCTATGGGCCGTCTGCGTTGTCCAAGTATTGTACCTCACCTTACTTCACCACTCCTTCCTGCCTATTTATACCCATCACTCGATCTGTAAAATGACCTTCTGAAGATGTATTTAATATACGAAAGTACTTAAGGAAATTTCCTGTTCCATTTTTCCTCCGTGGTCTGACATTGTCATATATATATATATATGTCGTACCTAGTAGCCAGAACGCACTTCTCAGCCTACTATGCAAGGCCCGATTTGCCTAATAAGCCAAGTTTTCATGAATTAATTGTTTTTCGACTACCTAACCTACCTAACCTAACCTAACCTAACTTTTTCGGCTACCTAACCTAATCTATAAAGATAGGTTAGGTTAGGTTAGGTGGGGTTGGTTAGGTTCGGTCATATATCTACGTTAATTTTAACACCAATAAAAAAAAATTACCTCATACATAATGAAATAGGTAGCTTTATCATTTCATAAGAAAAAAATTAGAGAAAATATATTAATTCAGGAAAACTTGGCTTATTAGGCAAATCGGGCCTTGCATAGTAGGCTGAGAAGTGCGTTCTGGCTACTAGGTACGACATATATATATATATATATATATATATATATATATATATATATATATATATATATATATATATATATATATATATATATATGATGTTTAAAATTATTACCTGTAAGTGCAATTCTGTGAGGAGTTAAACAGTAATAAGAATAAGTCTTACCGTTAAATGCACATTATATTGGCATACAAGGTTACGTTAGTCACAGTTCTCATAGATTATTACATATTTCACCTTACTTTTATTATTATTGAGAAAATTAGTAGGGGCGACGAGGAGGATTCGAACCTGCATTGTGCGTACTCCCAAGCACACACCTTAGACCACTACACCACGACATGGTCAAAAGCAATGCAACCTGGGATTCAACTGAATCATCTAGGTGTCCTGCCCTGAGCCTTCCAGTTTAGCTCAATCAGGGTTTCACGCATTGCCCCCATGCACTCTGGCTGATTGGGCTTCATTGGAAGCCTCAGGACACATAAAAGATTCAGTTGAATCCCAGGTTACATTGCTTTTGATCATGTCGCTGTGTAGTGGTCTAAGTCACTTGCTTGGGAGTACCCAGAGCGCCTGTTCGAATCCTCCTCATCGTTCCTACTGATTTTCTCATTGATACATAATGTGAATGTGATTTCTTTGTGCATCATGATTCCTATTGTATCTAATGCATTGATTTCTTGTGTTGTGATGATTGGGCAGATGTGTGGGGTGTTCTTCCTGAAGGCTGGGGCCTGGGAGACGGCAAAGTACCACGCTCGCCTCAACTCCTCCACCTTCTTCTACTCCTTCGACTTCGAGTCTGATGACACAATGTTCCGCTGGCTGTTCATTGGGCATGCACCCATGCCATTCCGCCCAGGTAACCTATCCCATCTTCCCTACGCTGATTATGAGCCATCCTCCCACTCATGTGCTTATCCAACCACTCCCACTCATGTGAACACAAGTTACCTTGTGTTCACCAGGTTAGGTTACCTTATGTTCACGAGGTTAGGTCACCTTGTGTTCATCAGACTACGCCACCTTGTATTAATCAGACTAGGTTTCCTTGTGGTCACCAGGGGCCGTGTTGCAACACAAGTAACAGCAGAGTGTACCAGCTCATTTAGAAGAGCGAAAGTCTTTGTCATTACGGTATACTTGTACACACTGACACCCTGAGTACACAACACTTCATGCTAGTGAGAGTTGTACACCCGCAGGTGTGACGCACTCGGACGAACTGATGTACCTGTTTGGGTTCCCGGCGGTGATGGAGGGCGCTCAGGTGCTCACTAAGGACCGCATGGTGCGCCTCTGGACCAACTTTGCCATATATGGGTACGTTGGTTTCTGTACATATCTACATTCATGCATGTATACACATGTGCATACATACATACCTGCATTCATAAATATACAAACACATTTTTTCCATGTTTAGGTGCATAAATAAAACTATTCATGTATATTTCAGCACATAACAGATAGAAAATTTAATCGATTGGCAATTGTCTATCTCGAGAATGTAAAATGTATTCATTTGATGTGATTTTTTTTGGACAACGCCAAACATTGCTTTATGTGTCCACTAGCTTGTTCCGCCGAGCTAGTGGACTAGTTCCGAGTGAACTAGCTCGTTACTTTGTACTCACAAGAAACAATATTTTATAGTTCAAGTTCCAACTTTACAGTGACCCTACGCCCGAGGAAGACAAAGCCGTCTGGAGCACCGAGCTTGGTATTCCCAAGTGGGAGCCGCTGGAACCCGAACACCACAACTACCTCCTCATCCAGGACGCTTGCACCCTGGAGGTGGAGTTCCCAGACAGGTAGGCGCTCCTTCACCATCACACTTCAGCTCATACTTCATCCCACACTTCAATCCTGCACTTCATCCCACACTTCAATCCTGCACTTCATCCCACACTTCAATCCTGCACTTCATCCCACACTTCAATCCTGCACTTCATCCCACACTTCAGTCCACATTTCAGTCATGTTTCAGATCCTATTTCTGGTAATAATTTCAGATGGCACATAGCCCGTGAGGAGGCGGAGCCTACGACTACCACCGCCCCGCCTACGACGCCACGCATGTGTGAGGACTACGAGGGCATGAAGAAGGAGCGGGATAGCTACATGATATCCATGATTGTCTTCGTGGTGGCCGCTGTCTGCCTGGCTGCCCTCTCTGCTTACTTCTACTTCAAGCTTCGTTAACATCTGCCTTCTCTGAGCCCACCTTCTGAAAACATTTACCTGTTGTAAGCCGAGTTAAGATAACATCTCCCTGCTGGCAATCAAGTTAAGATAACATCTCGCTGTTGAAAACCGAGCTAAGATAACATCTCCCTACTGTGTGTTTAGTCAGTAACGGACGATGAGCAAAGATATAAACAAGAACTTTTGCTAATATTCAGAGAAATAATATTTTCAAAAGTGACAAGTAATTTGTAATATTTTAACTAATTATTATGAAGCTGAAAACATTTGAACTTTATTTAATTATCCGTATTTACAAATGAATTTCAATGTGACAATGATTTTAATACAAATTCATGAATTACTATTAACAATGTACATAAAATAGTTTAAGTACAGAATCATGCAAATAAATGATAGGACAAATTTTGGAAGCAAAATTTCGTCTTTCCTTAGGTGTTGGACACCCGTAGTGTCCAACCACTAGGGGTGGACAGTAGAGCGACGGTCTCGCTGCATGCAGGTCGGCGTTCAATCCCCGACCGTCCAAGTGGTTGGACACCATTCCTTTACCCCGTCCCATCCCAAATCCTTACGTTGACCAAACTACACACCAAAGGATGAGGAGACGACGACGTTTTGGTCCGTCAAGGACCATTATCAAGTTGATTGTCTTGATAATCGACCGAAGTCGATTATCGACGATAATAGTCCAGAACGGACCGAAACGCCGTCGTCTCCTCATCTTGTGATGTGTGGTTTGGTCGTCATGTCTTCAGCCACGTTATTGTGACTCATCGTCTGTATATAGTTTATATTTCCACCTCATTAACTTATTTCGACCTCACTTTTTACGCATGTGCCCATCGTGCGGACCTGGGGGAGGTAAGGCGTGTGATTTGGGAATTCATATATAAGGTGCCACTGTTCTCATGGGTCACCCATCCAGTTTCTGGCCAGAGTAAATGAAAACTAAGCAGATGTGTTAATGTCATCTGGAATAAGTTAATTGCAACCAAGACCAAAAGTCAAAGATCTGGCGAGTTTAAGTGATAAAACTGTATGTGCCCCAAGGGTGACCGCATAGGTGCCAAAGGTGGTCAAACAGGTGCCAAGGATGGCCACACAGGTGCCAAGGGTGACCAGACGGGCTGTGTGGTATAAAATCACGGAACACCAACACTTCTTTCATCCTATAATATTTAGTGCAGATAATTCCATCAAGTATCATCAACATGACTCACCTCCTGCGTGTAATATTGCCATACATAGGAGCTGCAGTGCTAACCAGGTATCATTGTAACTAAATACTTAGTGTACATATAAATTGGTCAGTCCAACGATCACATTGTAACACCATAAAGGTGCTTAGTTAATATTTCACATAGTACATGAGTCAGCCAGACAAAACAGAATTTGAGGCGCCAGACTGTCGGCCTGTAGTAATTAAAAAAGTCACACCTAGAGGAGTTAATGACCACAAGTTGAACAAGGGTCAGGTCGTCTGACTTGACCTTGCTTCAGCTAAGCTGATAATTGTAGCCAGGTAGTCGGGTGTGTCCTTGAAACAAGCCGCTGTGTAAGGTGTGGCAGGCAGACGGCCTGAAGCTATCTACTTAGTAGGCGGAGCTTTACTCCTGGTTCACAGCACCGCTCCTGTGCCAGGTAAGTTACGGGCTCACCATAGCCCGTGCTACTTGGAACTTGTTCCGAGTAGCTGAATCTATACCAACCAACCTACTCCTGGTTCCCGCATAAATACCCAGGAACTGTACATTCGAGCGGATAGGACAGGATCAGCAGACAGAAGAGCATCAACAGACAGCAGCCTAGACAGGCTGTCAGCTGGACAAGGGGAACTCTGCCTGTCAACTGTAGACCTCCCTCCCCCTCTCTCTATCAAACCTAGTCTTAGTCCTTGGTGAATTTGGACGTTAAGATGACTTATTTCGTGTTTTCCAAACTTAAGGTGTTGTGTGATTATCAGGGGCAGTCAGCTGTAGTAGTCTCAAGGTCTTGTGTGATGTCTCACATGGTGTATTAATCTTGACATTGTGAACATAAGTTTAACCGTTTGAATTGATACTGTTAATACTAAATATATATAATTGATTAACTTACTTTTTAATCTGACTTTAATTGTGTTTCCTAGATCTTGAATTTAATGATATATTGCCAGTTAGAGTGAAGAGTTCAGAGTTCATACTCTGAGTTCACTGACTTAAAGAGTCTGAATACATGCTTACAGCAGATAATTAATGATACATGTTAATATTTGATACCAACTTAGAGGACAGACAAGTTCCATTCCTTGTCTTGGATGTACTGAACTAGAATGGATGATGGCAGCACTTTTCTATCTCTACCTTCTACTTTCTAATCTTCTACCTTCTACCTTTTCTACTACTCTCTACTTCTTCCAGTGTTCTCATTATCTTCCTTCCTCTAACTTTCCCTTTCCCCTGACCACTCCTTCCTTACTCCTCCCTCTTACCTCTCTACCCGCTACTCCCATACTCCTTCCTCACACCTCCCTCACCCTTCTCTACCTCCCTCATCCCATACCCTCACCCATTACTTCATCATTCATTTTCTTTTCTTTATTTTTCCGATACGTTACAACATGTTGGGAGAATACTGGGTCTCAAGATAAATAGAACAGGAATAAAAATTCACATATATAACAGAATTAAGAAAGCAAAAACAGCTTTAGACAAACTGGGAAGATTCCATAACCTCTGCACGAATATACAGCTACACTTATACAAGGATCTAGTCCGGGCATATACAGAACATCCTCTGGCACCAATACATGCCTTAAACAAAACTAATATTCTTTTAACTATTGACAGTGCAACACAAGGCACTAAGAAGAATTGCAGATCATTGTCCACCATATGATCGGACGATCCAGAATCCCTGAACATACAACCACTAAATATCAGACTTCAGCAGCAAGTCGCCAGAGTGTAGAATACGAACGAAATGTTAGACGACCCGGTACTAGAAAGACTTCTCCCATATGAGACGCCCCACCCCATAGTTCGTGGCCCAAGACCTTGAATCTACTCGAGGGCAAACGAGTCCTACAATGAATAGTTCTATGATGAAATACAGACCAGAAAAATCCTCACGAAGGGAAAATATGATCCCTTAAATATATCTGCTTGTGAAGATATGAGTGTTCCACAACATCCATCTTTTAAAATGCATGTGTTAAAAAGCAAGTATCATTACAAACACTCGCCAGCTCCTTGACACAGGAGAGTAAGCCTTACTTTACTACCAAACATACAGCGTGTTAGCAAAGTGAATATTCCCCTTATGTCATAACCTGCTGCGGCTCCACGAAGCATCTTCGTGACATACATTTGAGGCAATGCCCACCTGGACATCATCGTATGCTGCCATCTTCAAGTGCGAGACTTCTAACATTCGGGTACAACAGTTTGGAATTGACCACTCGTAAGACTTACTCTTGGGTTTCCCTTATGACCAAGATAATACTGAAACGAAAAGTAGATGCAAATATTACAGATGCATCAAACACAGAGAGACGTGACAAGTGAAACATTATACACTGTGACAAACAGAATGAGGACAGTGTATCTAGCAGAGCAATAACATTACACCTAATCTATATAAATAAAAATGGAAATGTTCGTTTGTGCATAACCGCTAATCTCCGAAAGTTCTTCACAGATTGCTTTGAAATTTTCACACAACGTTCCATTGGCATCCGAGTAGGTTTTTATGGACATACTATATAGATGTCACATCTGTGAAGGTAAAAAAAAAAAAATTCTGAAAAACCGTGTTTTTCACAAATACTAAAGGACGTTCTTATGTTAGCCAACCTGGCATATGCTGCTGATGCTATCCTCTTGATATGAGCTTCAGGGGGACAGGTCGGGCGTGATATCAACTCCCAGGTCTTTCTCTGTCTCTGACTCTTGAAGTATCTCATCTCCCAAATGATACCTTGTAACTGGTCTCCTGCTTCCTACCCCTATCTTCATTACATTACATTTGTTTGGGTTTAATTCTAACAGCCATTTGTTCGACCATTCCTGCAGCTTGTCCAGGTCTTCTTGAAGCCTCAAGCTGTCCTCCTCTGTCTTAATATTTCTCATAATTTTGACGTCGTCAGCAAACATTGAGAGGAATGAGTCTATACCCTCTGGGAGATCATTTACGTATATCAGAAACAGGATAGGTCCAAGTACACAGCACTGTGGGACTCCACTGGTGACTTCACGCCATTCTGAGGTCTCACCCCTCACCGTAACTCTCTGCTTCATATTGCTTAGGTACTCCCTTATCCACTGGAGTCCACAGTGCAGAGTCCACAGTGCAGAGTCCAAAAGGTAAGCGTTCGTATCTAAATAGGCCAAAAGGAGTGGAAAAAGAGATTTTTTTTAGCACGCTCAGTTGGACTTATTTGGTAATAGCCCTTTAAGAGGTCTGTTTGAAACAAGAATTTAGAGTTCCCTATAGCATCTAAGATGTCGTCGATGCGATAAAGGATAAGAGTCTGCAGGCGATGAGTCACAATAACGTGGCTAAAGTATGTTGACCAGACCACACACTAGAAGGTGAAGGGACGACGACGTTTCGGTCCGTCCTGGACCATTCTCAAGTCGATTGTGATGAGGAAGATTGATTGATGAAGATTAAGCCACCCAAAAGGTGGCACGGGCATGAATAGCCCGTAAGTGGTGGCCCTTTTAAGCCATTACCAGTATCAAGAGCTGATACTGGAGATCTGTGGAGGTGCGAATGCACCCTGCATGACGGGAGATGTCTCCCTTGTGAATGTGTTAAGATGAAGATGAAGCCACTGAAAAGGTGGCACGGGCATGAATAGCTCGTAAGTGGTGGCCTTTTTGAGCCATCACCAATATCAATAGATGATACTGGAGATCTGTGGAGGTGCGACTGCACCCTGCGTGACGGGAGATGTCTCCCGTAGTGATGAGGAAGTAGAGACAGGCAATAAATAGGCAAGAGAGAGCTAAAGAGCAAAGTAAGGTGTAGTAGAGGGGATAGTAATAATAATAATAAGAGCTGCAGAGGGCTTATTGGCCCATACGAGGCAGCTCCTATTATAACCACCGAATAAGAAGGAGATAGGAATAAGAAGAGGATAGCAAGGGAGCGTAGGAGAAGACAATGAACAGAAAAAGGGAGAAGAGAGAAAGAAAAGGAAAGAGAAAGAATGATAAATGGAAGGGGTAGGCTTATGTTAGGTCACATTTGTTAGAAAGATTAGAGCATTTGAGTATATACTGTGAAAGGGAAGAGTTCACAGCAACAAAGCCAGGACTCAAGTTCATGTTGGGTACATTGTGTATAAGAGCCGATTCAACAAGACGGCGTCTGTGTAGAGTAGAGGCAGGAAAGATTATTTTGGAGGAAGACCAATCAATGGGATGATTAGAATCCCTCACATGACAGAAGAGAGCATTGTTAGTGTCTGCAGACTTAACATTTCTCTTGTGTTCTTTAAGTCTGTCATTCAGTGTACGGCCAGTTTCGCCAAAGTATTGGAGAGGACAAGACGAACAGGAAATAGAGTAGACACCAGCAGCATTAGAAGCAGGAGGAGCAGTGTGAACTAGATTGCTACGAAGTGTGTTAGTTTGTCGAAAGGCGTGTTTAATGTCAAGAGGACGAAAGGTATTGGTAAAAGTTTTGAGTTCAGATATGAAGGGAAGGCATAGTATAGTGTTGGAAGCAGGTTTAGGATGAAATCAATTTCGTTTAGCTTGAGAGTAGGCACCGTTGATAAAATGCAAAGGGTAACCAAGGCGAGAGAATGATTTGTAGATAAAGACAATTTCAGAATCAAGAAACTGAGGGTCGCTGATGCGTAGAGCGCGGAGGAAGAGAGACGAGGACACTTTTCTTAACAGAAGGAGGATGGTAGGAAAAGAAGTGAATGTACATGCCACTATGCATGGGTTTACGGTAGACAGAGAAAGAGAACCCGGACACAGGGCTGTGAACATGAACGTCAAGAAAAGGAAGGAGGGAATTAGATTCCCACTCAACTTTGAAATGGATAGAAGGAGCCAGATTGTTAAGAGAGGCGAGGAAAGGCTGGAAAAGATTAAGGTCATGAGGCCATAAAGCAAAAATGTCATCAACATAGCGAAGCCAGAGAGAGGGACGAGTATCAATAGAAGGGAGAAGAACAGTTTCGAAGTATTCCATGTAGAAATTATCAAGAACAGGGGAGAGAGGAACCCATAGCGACACAGAAAGTTTGAGTGTAATATTTACAGTTGAAAGAGAAAGAGTTAGAGTCAACACAGAGTCTCATGAGATCGAGGAAAACGTCAGTGGGAAACGGGAGAGAAAGAAGATACAATATACATCATACAATATTATATAAATCATACAGTATTAAATGGAACACAAATGGATACTATACTAATAATAGAACAGAACAGGGAAAGTATTAATTGCTATACATCGTTATCATGATAATGTTAGAATCAATGCTAGATTCGTAACATCCCTCCCGGTCCCTAAGAAAAATGAAATTAACAGAAGGTTGATTTCATTTTTTGACTGCATGAAATATAACATGAAAATATAACATGAAGATACTTCAACAAAAGATCAAATTATAAAACAATGAAATTTCACACAGTAAAAAAAAAAAATACATGCATCTTATGAGTATAGAACACTTCATATTATGGCACTGCAATAGGAAATCCTCTGGATAAGGCATCAGCAATAACATTTTGCCTCCCAGGAATATGACGAATTACAATATTGAATTCTTGCAGAATCAATGACCATCTAACTATTTTCTGTTTTTTACATTTCATGGAGTAATGAATGTCAATGGATTATGATCTGTATATACTACAACTTGATTGCCTGACAAGTATGTCTCAAACTTCTTAACTGCCAAGATCAAACAAAGTGCTTCTTTCTCAACCACAGAATAATTAGTTTGTGTCCTGTCAAATTTACGAGAGAAATAATATACAGGATGTTCTATATCATCTGGTCCTACTTGGAACAAAACAGCACCTGCTCCTAGATCCGAAGCGTCTATGTGCAGAATAAATGGTTTTTCATACTGTGGACTGGCTAGCACAGGTAAGGTTA